TTTTATAGCACCATAATATGTACAAAATGTACAGATGGTAAATATTGCAAGCACATTGGCATACAAAAAAACTATTTAAATCTTTGTAAAAAGTATACCAATTAAATATACCACCATTATTTCCTACCAAAAACACCAAAACTTAAATTGTTTTAATTAATAAATTATTCTAAATAAATGTGGATTTGGCTCAGAAATCAATATAATAATAAGTTATGAAAATGAATGTGTCTGTTTTTATAAATAAGCATTTGTCAATAAATGAAATAAAATTTATAAGGTGTTACTTTTTACCACAATGTCTAATACACACACAACATTCAGTTTTTTAGTATTTGGAGCAATTATTACTACAACGTAAACAGTCAATTAATGTAGTTTAAATACTGGGATTATATTAATTGGTCCTCTGTAACAAAAAATATTTAAACATTTTCTTGTATTTTTTTAATTAAATAAGCGAACTATATCGACAATATTAGTATCTGTACCCTTTGAAAATTTGTTACATCTTTAAAAATAAGCTAAAATGTCAATATTCCATGGGTATAGTGATAAATGAAGTCTAAATTATAAGAAAATGCATTTTCTATGAAAACTTGAAGAGATGGGTAAAAAATGGAACAATACAATTTGATAGACAATTACATTGTGCATCTGATTCACGTAAAATATATAGGGTGTTCCATTTAAATTAAACAAGTTATTGCCGTTTAAAGCTAGTAATTATTTAATATAAATTTTTGGACACTCTGTATAAGTAAGTAAAATTTTTATTATTGCAACACAATATCTGATCAATAATTAATCTTCAGTAAATATTTAGTATTAAAAACTTTGATACCCTTGGAGAAAATGAAGCCTTAACATTTTTACTGCAATTTCATAAAATTGAAAATATTTCAAAAACGGTAAGGTTTAAGTGTGATAAACCTTAATCAAATTCACCTTTATTTTAATCGTAGAATCTAAAAATAGAATAATATACAGGGAGTTCCATTTAAAAAAATACAACTATAATATTTTTTACACATTTGGGACATTCTGTATCTTGTAAAAATATTTTTAAATTGTAGCTCTAATAGACCTTCAACGAACCCAAAATTTACAATTTGTAAAAATCTAATCGTTTAGTTACAATACTCCGTGTCGTATGTGGTGAACAACCCTGTATAGAGTTGTTTCCAGTTTTTAATTATATTTTTTGTATTTGTAATGTTAATTAATATGTATTTTTTAACGAAATAAAGTTATTTTCATTATAAATTTGATATTTATTTCATGTAAATTGTTAGTGCTGAACCCATCCGATTAAAATCGTCTCAAGCTTTAAACAAAGTGACACATTAATAAATCACTAAACATTACACTTCAATATGTAAGGAAAAGACTTGAAATAAAAGGAATGTATTTGAAAAACAAAAGAAAATCACTAACAAAACAAATATTTTTTCTTTAAATCAAATAGGTAACATTTTTATTCTAAATCTGCTATACATTTAAATTATAATTGATTATCTTTATAATATAGAAAATATTATTATAAAAACAATATGTTTTATTTTCATTGTGGTATAGAAGTCTTTTGACTAGATAATGCTTTCTCTTTACTTCAAATACGAATAGTGTGGCGTTTTAAAAGAATAAACCCGTAATAATGAATATGATCATGTTTGTTTTGTATATGCAAAATAAAAATCAAAAGGCATCTCATTAATTCAACCATGATCATTAATGAGGCCAAAACATGTTTGATTTTATTTGATTCATTAGCATTATTTTTGATTTTACAACGTTTTTTCTCTCAGTGTATTAATTTTAAACTTGACACTGGAGCTGAATCAAGTATTTTACCAGTAAAATATTTAGATAGTTATATATATATAATCGAAAAACACCCATTTTACCCCTGAGGGTGTCTGGGTTACGTGTTCATGTTTTCTTGTCATAGACAAATGCAGACCATTTCTTCCTATCTTGTGCCAATTGTTTTGCTCTTTCCCACGTACTCCCTTTTCTTTGTAAAATATGTTCAACTATTTTATTCCACGTTTCTTTTGGTCTGCCTCTATTTCTTTTGCCTTGAGTCCTTGATTCCCATATTTTCTTCACTGGAATGTCGTTATTCATCCTTTGTAAATGTCCCCACCAACTCAATTGCCGTTGTTCTATAAATTCTTGCATTGATTGGATTTGTAAATTTTTTCTTATTATATCGTTTCTTATTCTGTCTTTTCGTGTCACACTTCTGACCTTTCTAAGGTATTTCATTTCGATTGCTTGTATTTTGCTTCTTTGACGCTGATTTAGTACCCAAGATTCGCATCCATAAGTCAGTATCGGCCTATATATTGTTTTAAAAACTGTCATCTTTGTTTCACTCGATATTTCTTTTTTGTTTATAAATCCCTTATTCATTGCATAGTATACATTATTAGCTTTCTGTATTCTGTTATTTATTTCCACATGGTTGTCTCCATTTGCTTCTATGACAATACCCAGATATTGATATGTCTCGACCTGTTCTAACTCCGTATCATCTACGTGTATTTGTATTTTCTTTGTTTCTTTCGCTACCTGCATTACTTTGGTTTTTGTTTTATTGAGTTTCATACCCTTTTTAATCAGCACATTATTCCATATGTTGACATTCTCTTGTAGTTTTTTTACGGTATCCGTGACTAATACTACATCATCCGCAAAAGCACAATCTGTTACTTCGATTGGTTGCAAGTTTCTATATCCGATGTACATTGGTCTAATTCTCTGGTTGGTTTCACGAATAATTTCGTCCATATAAATTATAAATAACAGTGGACTCAGGCTTCCTCCCTGGCGTACTCCTTCTTTTGTCTTAAATATTTCAGATTTCATATTGTTTTTTATTACGTAATTGTTAGTTTCGTCATATAAACTTTTTATTACATTAATCATTTTATCACCAACATTTCTTTTCTTTAGCGTGTTCCATATTTCTTGTCTTGGTACTCTATCAAATGCTTTTTCCATGTCTAGGAATGCGAAGTATGCCTCTTTATTATGTGTCAGTGTTTTGTTTATAATTTCTTTGATTGTAAAAATATTATCCTGAGTGCTTCTTCCTTTTCTAAATCCACTTTGGGAATTTGATAAACTTGCTTCTGTTATTGATCTCAGTTTTCTTTCTATTATTTGTTCAAAGACTTTGACCGCCGTACTTAATATTGTTATTCCTCTATAATTATTACATTCTTTCCTGTCGCCCTTTTTATGTATAGGCAATATAACTCCTAGCGTCCAATCTGAAGGTACTTTTTCTTCATTCCATACTTTGTTATAAATTTGTCTTAATGTTTCTTTTCCAAGTATTCCCATGTTTTTGAACATCTCCGCTGTTATTTTGTCATGTCCAGGTGATTTACCATTTTTTAACTTCTTGATTGCTTCATCTACCTCATCTCTAGTAACAACTTCTATATCAATTTCCTCTTTAGTATTAGATATTTCAATTTCTTTCTGCTGGTACGTGCTATCTGCGTTTAAAAGTTGTTCAAAATATTGCTGCCATCTTTGCATGATTTGGTTTTCTTCAATTAAAACTGTACCATCTGTACTTTTAACTGTCACTGTATCATATTCTGTTTTATTTCTCATATTTTTTAGTGTCTTATAGAACAGTTTCTGATTTCCTTTACTATCTCTTTCTAATTTTTCTCCAAAATCCTTCCAGGTCTTTTGTTTTGCCTCTCTTACTGACGTTTTCACATATTTACATTGTTCTTTATATAATTTATAATTTTCCTGCGTTTTATTGCTTAGGAATTTTTTCCACATTTGTTTTTTAATTTTAATGTGTTTCTTTAAATTCTCTGACCACCATGCCGTTTGTTTTCTGTCTGTATTAATTTTATGGGTCCCGCATACTATTTTAGCCGTATTTAAAATTATATTTTTAAATTCCTCCCAAATTTCTTCTAATGTCAACATTTTTGTCCTCTCTATTAGTTTTTCCATCTGCTTATTTGTTTCGTTCTCAAATTTCCTTGCTATTTCATTTTCCCTTAATTTATAACTTCTTATATTTATATTTACTGGCGGTCTCTTGGTCGTTTTCATTCTTTTCGCCGTTTGAACATTGTTAAATTCTTTTAATTTAGCTTCTACCAAGAAATGATCACTATTTATTTCATATCCCCTTTTTACACACACATCGTTCACCATTTTTCTATTAAATTTATCTACTATAATATAATCTATTATCGACCTTTCACCTCTACTAGGTTCCACTCTTGTATATTTATGTATATCTTTGTGTTCAAAGAAGGTATTAGTTATTATCAAATTATGTGTCTGACAGAAATCTATTAATCTATTTCCATTGTTATTTCTTACATTTTCACCGTGTTTACCAATAATTTCATTATTTGTCGTATTTCCTATTCCAACCCTGGCATTAAAATCGCCTAATAGGTATATTTCTCCTTTAGCTTCTTCTACCGCTAGGGATAACTCGTCCCAGAATTCTTCCTTCTTCTCTGCTTTCTCAACTTCGTCATGACCGTATACTCCTATTATTGTTAGGTTTCTACCGTTATAATTAATTTCTATTGCTATTATTCTTGGCGATACAGCCGTCCATTTTTGCATATTCATTTTAATCTTACTATGTATTATACATCCAACACCTGCCGATGCTCGTTGGTTTTCTTCTACACCACTGTATATGAGCAAGTGTCCGTCTCCTATTTCCATTATACCTTTTCCTTTTTTCTTCGTTTCCGTTATTATTAAAATTTCCATTGCGGTCTTTTCGAACTCTTCTGCCAATTCAATTTCCTTTCCATTCAAACTTCTTATATTCCATGTTCCTATCTTCTTATAGTTTTTCTTCTTTTCCTGTTCTGCTATGTTTATGGTTTTATGGGTTTTTTCTTGTTTTTTTGTTCCGTCCGTTGTTTTCCATGTCATTACCATTTCGTTGCTAGTGTCCGTCATCAGTTTTCCCTCATATTCGTAGTTAATTAGTTTTTTGACGTTTGTTTCACTATACTTTCAGTTATTTTATTCCACCTCCACTCTTCTCCATTGATAATAATTTTATTATACCCTATTTTTACGGTATTTCCCTTTTCTTTTTCTGTTTTGGCAACCAGTCTCATTTTCTTTTGCTTTTCCCTTTCTTTAAATGTCATGTCTTCACTAATAAATATACGATCTTCACTCATATATCTTAATTTAGATTTATTAGCCATAATATCATTTTTCTCTTTCTCGTTTTCAAGACTAATAACACATGTTTTTTCACCTATTTTTGTAACTGATTTTGGAGTAGTATCAATATTTAAGTTTTCTTTTATAAAATCTTTAATATGTTCTTTTAAGACCAGTGGTTCATTTGTGGTCATTTTTAATCCATTTATTACTACATTATTTTTTTTACTCTCTTTTTCTAATATTTCCATTACTCTTTTCATATTCCGCAATTCATCACGCACTTCAGAATTTTCCTTTCTAATTTCTGTATTTTCCTTTTTCAAAAATTGATTTTCCTCTTTTAGCCTACGAATTTCTTCATTAAACTGCTTTTGTTGAGCCATTATTTCTTGAGTTTCTTTTTTAATATCTCTCTGTTCTTTTTTCATTTCTTTTTGATCATGACTCATCTCCCTCATCATCACTAAAATTTGATCCAGTTTTCCTTCAGTTTCTTCTCTTTGAAATTTGGTAGGTGTTCTAGATATTTTTTTACTTCTTTCAAAAGCTTCCCCCATACTTAAGCCCTTCCTTTTTTTCCCCTCGTCAGTAGAGTACTCGTCACTATCTATCATTATACTTTACGTACTGAAACCGCGATAAGAGTTTTACCCGAATCAACTTCTCGGAAGTTAGACTCTTCTCAGTTTTCAGTATTTATCGCCTGTCTATACCTATTTATTTTGTTATATACCAGATTCTTTTTTTTCTGAGATTTTTTTACCTGCTGCACAACCTGGCAACACACCAATGAGTTTCGGCGTGACTCTAATTTACAAACCGGTTCAACTGTCCTTATTTACTTATTTTTTCTTACCAATTGCTTGTTTGCTTTGCGTCAATAAGTAGTGTTTTTCACCATTAAATGTTAATTTCGGTTAATTTCTTTATATTCACCACTATATTAGCACTTCTATATTTCACTCTGAGGACTCGATTTAATTGATTTTCATTACAATCTCCGAAAAATCGAATAAATTCGTAGATGAAAAATCAATCAAACGTCTCACATCCAGCGCGACGTTGCCAATAAAGTTTAGATAGTTAAATATAGATAAAATGAGTATTGTACCATCAACATGTATAATATTATCATATGGACATTTTAAATCTAAAACAATAGCAAAAATTACTTCAAATTGTAATTATAAATATATATATCTAGTAAGGTTTCATTCTTATTAGTAGATTTTGATTCAGAACCAATTTTTGGTTTAATTGATTGTATAAAATTAAAATTAATTTGACGTCTAGATACTATTGATAAAAATTTTGAAACTTGTTTATAAAAAGACAAAAATTATATTTATAAAAACTATAATGAAATTTTTAAGGGACTAGGATCAATGCCTGGATGTAGAATGTTTAGGAGGGGAGCTAATCACCGCGACCTTATAGATCTATTGTGTGTTCCCCTTTCTTGAGTTATAACGAGTTATAACTCATTATACAGTCTCAGGGCTTTAACAAAAGCCAGTATCTGAGACGGCTCCACAGAGGCCAGCTCTCCATCCTCGACATCAGCCGTACCAAAATTCATGGCACGAGTTCGAGGACCCGTCTCGGCGCACTCAGTGATAAGGTGTTCTGGTGTTTCCCCATTTTCCCCACAGAATCTGCATTCGCCGTTGTTTCTCAGCTTCAGCCTACTGATGTGTTCATTGAGGAGACAGTGTCCTGTTAGAAACCCCGTGACAATCCGAAGATTGTTTTTACTTAAATTAAGGAAAACCTTTGATTTTTCTCGGTCGTAATTTCTGAGGAACTTTTTCGAGTGTTGGATGACACCCATTCCAAGTTACGGATGGAGTCTACCAGATTCTTCAGTTCCGCTTTCAGTTGGTTCCCGTTTGGAAAACAGAACGGTTCTGGTCCAGTTAGTGGAGTGTTCGCTCTTTTCCTAGCTAGATCATTTGCTTTTTCATTGCCTTCTATACCTTGGTGAGCAGATTATACCAAATTCCTGGATATGTGGATATTAAATTAAAACCTAATGCGATACCAGTAATACAACCACAAAGAAAAGTACCATTAGCTTTACATAAAAGACTTAAAGATAGTTTAGATGACCTTGTTTATAAAAAAATTATTGCTAAAGTTGAGTATCCAAAAGATTGGGTAAATTCATTAATGATAGTTTAAAAGCCTAACGGTAGTCTTCGATTATGTCTAGATTTATAGAGAATATTATCCAATACCGAAATGTGAGGACATTTTTAGTAAGCTTTAAGCTTTTTTTAAGGCAAGACCATTTTCTCCGTCATTGACATGAAGGATAGGTTTTGGCAGATTCAATTAACTGAACAAAGTTCCAAACTGTGTACCTTCAATACGCTATTTGGTAGATCTAAGTTTAACAGAGTACCCTTTGGTTTAAATTCCCTTTACTTTAAAATAATACGACATTTCACTAAGCAGAGATAAAAAATACATTAATACCCCATAAAAAATACATTAATAAAAAACGACTATCCACCATATTTTATTGACAAAACATTAAACGAAATACAAACCCTCATCGACACAATGATAACAATACACAATATATACAACTTACAATTCCATACATACGAGGCGTTTCGGAAAAAATAAGAAGGATAGGAAAACAATATAACATACGAACATCTTTCAAAACACAAAATACACTTAGATCCATTTTATCACATTGTTAGATTCTATTTTAAATATATGAATTTGGCGCTCTTTTTAATAATTTGGTTGCTCACGCATGTACGCCTAAAAGGCGGGACGCGAACGACAGTGGAGGAATAGCGTCGCCGCGGCAGTCACTGCTTGACATTAACCGCGAATTCAAAAGAATTTAACATCAGGTGTGGGGTAATAAACCCGGGTGCTTTTCGTGTGCCTCTGAATTTTGTGTGACTTCATGCTAATTAAATTAGCAATGGCCAAGCGTGCTACAATCGAATCTGTGTCCATCTTCAACGGCGGGCATTGGAAACTCCGCATATACGAGTGGTTTGTAAAAATAAATTGGTATGAAACAGAATTTCGTTGGTCTGATCGGGAAACCGTAAGTAGAATTGGCCCTTTTTACTTAAATATGCTAAACGATGGTTTACTGCATGGAAACCACGAAACATGGAAAAATTTTAAAACAAAATTTTCAGCTGTTTTTCCATAAAAAAAATTCCGGGTAAGCTCATGATCGATGCATGTAACTTTCAAAGTTGCCATGCTCATAGTAACATTGACTAAGCACGCATAAAACTTGAGAAATTAAAATTGCTCTCTTGTTTCAGAAAATATTGAAAAAAGGTTTAGGCAATTTAAAAAGTGATATTAATAAGTTATTAATAATAACATCAAAGTACGAAGTTTATACTGTGAAAGTTCTTTTAGAAACCAAGATAATGATACAGGATTTAAAACTGAATTTTAGATCTATAGCTCCGTAGTTTTAGTAGAGTTTTGTAGTTTTATATGCCATATTCAAACCAAATTTACGATCATCAATAATTGTAGAGTTTTGTAGTTTTATATGCCATATTCAAACCAAATTTACGATCATCAATAATTGTAGTAGGTTCTGACAATACGATAAACATGTAATTATTAAATTAAAACATACAAAAAAAAATAAGAAAAAAAATACAGATTTAAGTGTTCAGCTAAAATAATTATTGTACAGAATTTTTAAGATGTCGAATAGCATAAATTGGATTTATTTTAAATAACGACAGATACCACATTTCCATTTCGCCTGGTTTTAACCATGTTTTAACTATAAAAAAAACATATCCCCGATACTTTTTCTGGTATCGATTGTATTACAAAACTAATTAAAAGTTATGATAAATTTATTTGTACTAAAGATTGAAGAAAAGTACCAAGAAAGGCTGGGCATTTGATAAAGCGAAGCCAATAAGTCGATTCCAGGGCTATCGGATTTCAGTTCTAAGAAACTTATCAGTTAAATGTTGTTCCATATTTTTCTCAACACAAGTCTAATGAAGTTGGCGACTGTTTATAATATTCAGTGCTTTGTCAGTATTTTACGAAGTCAGGTATTTTTTTACTGTTTTCTTTTGTGTAGCGATTTCAAGCTTATGAGTATTGATGAGTTAACAATTTTAGTATTGAATACTTAAATGGTGTTATTTTTCAACGGTGCCGACTATTCCAGATGAAATCGAATTGAAAATGTTTGTCAACATGGCCTAGTGGTAACTGGTTAAAAAATACAGAAATATGACACCGAAACAGAAACTTAAGATAAATGAAAATAAATTTAGGACAATAAGCTAACGATCATTTTTGTTAAAATAATATTATTTTTAGAAAAAAAAATGTGGCAAACTTCTTTTTATATAAAAGCTTTCTTTTTATATAAAAGCTTTTGTGTCGAAGTCGAAAGGCAGCCGTTTTGATTTATTAAGATTGTTTTCCGACAAGCAGTGTTACGTTACAACTGAAAAAAGATCTTTTGTGAACTAAACCATTATTTTTATTTTAACTCATGCATCAATTTGTTAAGAAGTATTATGATCAATGCTTAAAATGTATTGTTACTAAAAACATACAGTGTAGGTACCTTTTTAAGTACCGCATGACATGAGAGTTTCGAATTTTTATTACTCTTAATCGACGGCTTTTGTAAAAAGGCGGCATCACAGGAAGTTTAGAAAAAGTACATGTTATAGCGGTATTAATTTCACCGATAAATAACTATAAGTACTAAAACAAAAACACGAGAATAAATAACGGTGTTTGAGATATTAAAACGCTGACTAAATCTACGAGTATTACTTGACGTTCCGAAAAATGTGTAAAAATATTGAAAACTACGAACGTAGTAGAAAGCAAGCTGTTTATGTAAAAGAAAGGATTAATTGAATTATCAGTATTTGTGATTATTTCTCCGGATGTAGCCATTAGGAAAACTTAAAAAGTATTTTCGATTTTTTTTTGCGGTTGTAGAAACTATTGCAAGAGATTTGCTGATGATCCAGCGAACTCTCCGTAAAATAACGCTTTGCAACCTGTTGATTTTGTTGAAAGCCAGTTTCTTTGTAAAATATTTATTGATATATATATATATATATATATAAAATTGACATCGCCATGATTTTCAATCGAGCGGTACATTGCGAACAATAACAAATTTGCTAAGAATAAGTCGAAGAAATTGTCAGTTTGGCCGAACAAACTTTTGTGGCACATTATGTCATTAAACAACTATTGGCTAATGAGCGATATTCAATCCGGAAGTTGGGCACGCAAACAAACCTTAAGTGATCTAAGGACTAGTCGCGTCACTGGCCATCTGATTAGACTCCTGAAGACTTTCAGAATCTGGTAGAACTAAACAGTTGTAAGTTGT